GGACCCACCTTCCCCCCGGGCATAATGCCTGGGTCAGCGTCCAGTGCTCGGTGCTGATGGCGAACGTGGCGCTTGACACCGGAGCCAATGGATCGCGGTTGAGCTCTTCGTAGGTCTCCTGGAGATGCCCCTCTAGCCTCTCGAGCCGCTTCATCTTGGCCTCCAGCAGCTTCCTCTGTCACTTGCTCTCTGGGCCTGGCGTGGTCGTTGGTCTCGGCACCGCGGGTACAGCATTCGCCGCGGGGCCTGTGGGACAATCCTGAGCATCAGGGAGTCCGCCAAACCGACCTTCGCAATGACGTAGTCAATGAGTGACCCTCTGCCATGGTTGCATGTCACCTATCCATTGCTCGGGGCGACCAGTTGACCTCCAACTTTCCTGAGCCACTTCGTTGCTTCCCAACCACTCGACCTCGCATTCCAACCGCCTATCAAACCCATGGATCCTTCGCATGTCGCAAGAACGCCGCAATGCGTATCAACGTCTGCTCATTGGCGCCGACGAACTTGCTGAGATCCGCTGTAGCCGCAGCCAGACCTGGGCCTGACGTGCGTGTCTCCGTAAACCCTATCATGTCACACTCCCTCGCCTGGACTTGCATGGAGGACTTGGCTACAAGTCCCCATGACGAAATGCTACTGAATATTATCTTACTGGAGTGATTGTCCGTGTAGTGCCTGGTGGAGTTGCTTGCGCTGGTACTGGGATCGTTCGTGAACTTGACCTAAGTGGCGTCGCACCCGCGAGGAGGCTGCGCCTGAAGCAGAAGAGGCAGAGCCGCCGCCAGGAGCGCCCTTGCCGCCAGCCTTAGCTTTGTCCACGATCTTCTTGCGCTCCGTCTCCAAGTCCGCAACTCCCTCGGCCTCTGCAGCAGACTTGACCTCGGCCGTCGGCCCCGACTCTCCCTGCGCGGGGGTGTCGCGCCTCTCGGGCTCGGGGTCCGTGGCAGCTGCAGACGCCGCCTCAGCACCTCAGCCTCTGGCAGCTTGACCGCTCTCATCAACGCGCTGCCTCTTCGTGGCCCCTGAGCGGGTGTCCTTGACCCTGGCGAAGTGTTCATGAACTGCCGCCTGGATCGCTGCCACCTGCCCGCAATTCTCCTTGATGATGCCTTCCAACTCGCGAAGCATCTTCTGCTCCTCCTCGCCGTAGGCCGAGACATCCTTGAACAAGTCGTCGTCGACCGCGAAGACCACGGCCCGCTGCATCGCCTCCTCCTTCGACTTGAGCTCCTTGGCGGTCTGCGTGTACCGCTCCTGAGCAGTCGGGGCCCGCGCCTGGCTCTCCTGGAGCCGCTCCTGCGCGCGCTGCAGTGGGGCGAGCTCCTTGGCAAACTGCGGGAGCTGCGCCAGCTGCTCCAACAGCGCCTGTGGGTCAGGAAAGGCCTCCGTAGGAGCAGTCCGGGCACTCCATGACCGAGACGATGAGCGCGAGGCGCGCCACGGTGAAGACCACTGGTACACTGCCACCTCGCGCCCGCACTTCGCACGCATACCGTTGTTGCCCTTGATGAGGAAGTTGTACGCCCAATTCCCGCACGCGCAGACATTGAAGTCGCCCTTCCTCGCCATCTTGGTGGGGAATGCTTCCTGGTGCGGGGCGGGTGGAGGCCCCGCGGGAAACGGGAATTCGGATGGGGCCGCGCGTCCCCTGCCAGCTCAAACTTGGGCCAACATGGATACGGAGGGGAGGAGGAGGGAGGAGGAAGGAGGGAGGAGGAGGGAGGAGGAAGGAGGCCGCCCATCACCACTCTTGAAGAGAGGGGGCAGCTCAATAAGCGAAGGACAAGGGCCGCCGGAGGACAAGCTTAAAACGCCTCCTCCTCCTCCTCTTCCTCCTCCTCCTCCTCCCTCCTCCCTCCCCCCTCCGCCCTGCTCCCTCCTCCCTCCTCCCTCCTCCTCCCTCCTCCCTCCTCCTCCACCTCCTCCTGCTCCTGCTCCTCTCTGCTCCAGACTCCTAGCTCCTGCTCCTGCTCCTGCTCTGCTCCTGCTCCTGCTCCTGCACCCTCTCCCTCCTCCCTCCTCCCACCTCCCTCCTCCCACCTCCCTCTTCCCTACTCCCTCCTCTCCCTCCACGCCCCTCACAACATCCTCCTCCCTCTCCCTCCTCCCTCCTCACCCGCCCTCCTTCCCTCCTCCCCCCTCCGCCTCCACCCCTCTCCTACCTCCTCCTCTCCTCCTCCTCCCCCTCCCTCCCTCCCTCCCTCCCCTCCCTCCCTCCCTCCCACCCTCCCGCCCTCCCGCCCTCACCGCCCTCCGCCCTCCCACCCTCCCACCTCCCTCCTCCCTACCTACTCACCTCCCTCTTCCCATCTTTACCCTCTTCCCTCCTCCTCCTCCTCCTCTCCTCCTCCTCCTTTCCTCATCCTTTCCTCCTCCTTTTCTCCTCCTACTCCTCCGCCTCCTCCTCCAACCTCCACCTTCTCCTTCCTCCTCCTCCACCACCTTCCCTCCCTCCTTCTCCTCCTCCACCTCCCTTCTCGCGCCCACTTCCTCCCTCCTCCTCCGCCTCCTCCACCCTCCCCTCCTTCCTACCTCTCCTCCTCCTCCTTCTCCTCCTCCTCCTCCACCTCCTCCCTCCTACCCTCCTGCCTTCACTCCCTCCTCCCTCCACCATCCTTGTCCTCCTTGTCTCCCTTCTCCCTTCTCCATACTCCTCCTCCTCCTCCCTCTCACCTCCTCCTCCTCCCCTCCTCCTCCTCCTCCTCCTCCTCCTCCTCCTCCTCCTCCCTCTGAACACCGCCGAAGGACAAGCTCGAAGCGAAGGAGATCCGCTCGGAGCGAAGGAAACGGGGCAGTCCAAATGGCACGCAACGGCCCCCCCGAACCTCCTCCTCCTCCTCCTCCTCGTCCTCCTCGTCTCCTCGTTCTCCTCCTCCTCCTCCTCCTTCTCCTTCCTCCACCTCCTGACCTCCTCCTCCTCCTCCTCCTCCCTCCTCCCACCTCCTCCTCTCTCCTCCTCCTCCTCCTCCTCCTCCTCCTCCACCTCCTCCTCCCCTTTACTCCTCCTCCTCCTCCTCCCTCCTCCTCCCTCCTCCCTCCCTCCCTCCTCCTCTCTCCTCCTTCCTCCATGCCTTTCCCTTATATAGAACTTCTCCCTGTCGCACCCCGAGGCCAATTTTTAGGGCGGGCCGGGCGTTTCGCCTCTGCCTCTGACGCTTAAGCATTGACAGCAGTTTCACATATGGGGGGCGGGTGGATTTAAACATGTGGCTCTCGCCTTAGCGCGGCGCACATTCGTTGTTAAACTTTGCAAGAATTTAAAGATTTGAGGGCGGGTGGTTTTCAACATGTAGCTCTCGCCGTAGCGCCGCGCACATTCGTTATACACATTTGCAAGAGCTTTACGGATTGATGGCGGGTGGTTTTCAAAATGTGGCTCTCGCTTTAGCGCCGCGTACCATCTCTTTTTTTAAATAAAAAATAAAAGACAACAAACATTTGCAAGAGTCTCACGGATGCAGGGCGGGTGGTTTTCAACATGTGGCTCTCGCCTTAGCGCGGCGCACACTCGTTTTAAACCTTTGCAAGAGTGTCACGGATTGAGGGCGGGCCGTTTTCAAAATGTGGCTCTCGCCTTGGCGCGGCGCACAATCGTTTTGAACATTTGCAAGAGTCTCACGGGTTGGGGGCGGTTCCTTTTCAACATGTAGCTCTCGCCTTAGCGCCGCGCGCATTCGTTTTCTCAACATTTGAAAGAGTTTTACGGATTCCCGTCATCAGCGTACCAAACATGGTGTTTTGGAAGGATTCGAGATTATGCGGCTGCAACAATTAATTACGTGGATTCTCTGTGTTGACGTCCTGGGAATGGCGTTCTGCCACGATTCAGGACCATCAAGACGCAACAGTCAGGTTGATCCGTGGCGTTGAAATCCCGAGAACAATGTTTTGGTATGCTTCAGGGTCTTCAAACGGGTATCTTCCATCGAGGCAGTTCCATCAATGGAACTGAACCCTTCTAGGGGCCTATGAAGAGGGAGCTTGGAGGGAGGGTTTACTCCAACATCGTTGATGATTCTTGGGTTTACACTGGTCCTCCTCCTCCTCCTTCTCCTCCTCCTCCTCCCTTCCCTCCTCCTCCTCCTCCTCCTCCTGCTCCTCCTCCTCTTCCTCCTCCCTCCGAACAACGCCGAAGGACAAGCTCCAAGCGAAGGAGAGCCGCTCGAAGCGAAAGGAGAAGGGGCAGTCCAGATGTCACCCAGAGACCCCCCCAACCTGGCGCCATGGGGCCCCCTGAGAGCACGCTCCAGGCCCTCTTTTGGGGGCCTCTTTGAGGACGTCTCGAAGCCTGCGGGGGTCGTCTGAAGGCATCTTGGGGCCGCTGAGGACCTCTTTCGGCCTCTTGGAGGCCTCGTGGGCCTTCTGGAGGCCTCCCGGTAGCATCATGGGGCCTCTTCGGCGCTGCGTGAGAGTCTCGTGAGGCCTCTCGACTCTCGAGGGCTCCCGACCATCCCGAACATCTCTGGCTGCCTCCTTCCTTATCGTCTTCCAGGGTCGGCGGCACCGGCCGCAAGGTCTTGTCAATACAGTCATCGTGTTCTACCAGAACAAGTAACATACCTAGGAACGAACGAACTTTCCAGGCCACAGAGAACCTGGGACACGAAAAGGCTCCTCGACCCAGATCTGAGGAGCGGCCTGGAAATCAGAGCTTCTCCTGAACCCAAAGCGGCCCCTCTCGCTTCGTCGCGACTGCCATGAGGGTTGAAGAAGGACTATGGCAGAAGAGTGGATGGAGGGGGCGGGGAAGGAGACACGAGGAACGGAGAGGGCGGGGTGAGGGAAGGGCGAACCGGAGGAGGAGGAGGAGGAGGAGGAGGAGGAGCGGAGCGAACCAAAGAGCAACGACAGCACGCGCGCGCGCCACGCCGGGAAGGAGCAGGGGCGCACGGTGCAGAAGAGGGACAAAAAGGGCGAGGAGGGGTGGGGGGAGCGGCGAGGAGAGGGAGCGGCGAGGACTGGGGCGGCGAGGGCGAGGAGTGGAGGCCCGCGCCTTTCTGGTTCGTTTACAGCGTGGAGCAGGGCGGGCCACAAAAGGTGGGTGTAAAAAAAGGCAACTGTCGTGCAGGCCGGCGGCGAGCGGGGGGCGCCAGGGCCGGGGCCGGGGCTCCCGAAGGGCCGATCGCTCACCCCCACTCTCCGACCCGCTGGCCAGCCTCCGCGTGGCAGTCCCTGGGCGTGGCGGTGACAACACCCGGCGGTGCATCTCGGGCGCGACTTGGTGTCACCACCCGGCTTGGTGACTCGTGTGGCTTTCCGAGGGATGTCCGGGACGCTGGTGGGTCCAGGAGTCAAAAAAAAAGCCCTGCGGTGACCCCGTGCCCCCAAACCCCGGCGGTGACGTCTTGGGGGATTGGCGGTCGCCGCCTGGTGGGGCTCCCCCTCCCCCCCTCCCCTCCCCCCTTCCCTCCCCCCCCTCCCCCTCCTCCTCCTCTTCCTCCTCCTCCTCCTTCTCCTCCTCCTCCTCAGCCCCCACGGCCCAGATCGTGACCCACAGAGGGGGCGACTCGCGCTGCCAGGCATGTCCTTGCACCTGCCTCGACACGCCCCCACATCAGGCGGCGTGTGCCTCGGGCGGCCATGGTACTAGCTAGATGCTGCATGTGGAATCCGTTGTCGATGCGACAGGCTGGCAGATGGCGTGATGTTCAGAAGCAACTACGTAGCTGTCAGGCAATTGCTCTTGCTGGCACACAGTGTGGTACAGAATTGCCGTGTGTCCAGGATCGTCTGGGGAAGTATCATCGGTTTCAGTGGGGCAGAAGCTCTGGGTCTGCAGGTCGTCCGACGGGGTGCTCACTCCTGATCAGAGACTGCCTCTTTGATGGGAAGCAGATTCGCAGGGTCTGGCACTATGAAGGAGAGTTGGCAGGTCGACTGGGGGCAGTGAGATGTAAGTCAGCATCAAGCGACATTACGTTTATTGTTGCGTATGCGCCAGTGGAGCCTCCTGGGGGTGCGGGACGAGCTGCTGCTATTCGAGGGTGCGAGAAGTTCTGGAGTGGACTTAACTCATTGCTGGACGAGCTACCGAGTCGAACTGTTCCCCTGTTGATGCTAGATGCGAATGCTCGTGTGGGAAGTGTGGCAAGTGAGAGTCTGGGATCATGTGAAGTGGACAATGAGAACATGAATGGTCTGTACTTTCGGGAAACGCTAGAGGCCTATTACTTGTGTGCTGTGAATACGTATTATGTGTGTGTGGGCCCACGTTCTATCATGGGAATGGTACTAGCACGGCGAGGGTGGACTATATATGCACGACAAAAGCAGTACTGAGTAAAGTTCGCAAGTGTGAAGTATGGGAGCGAGCGGGGGAAGCCATGCAGTTGATCAATACGCTGACTCGTCGTGACCACTACCCTCTTGTCTCGCAGTTAGAAATGGGGCCGTTTTTTCCTGATGAAAGCTCGTTCCGCTGGGACCACAATAAACTCAATCGTGCGGTGCTCCATGGGGTCCGAAGGCGTGAATTTTTAGAAGCGGTTTCCCGTGGGCTCGGGCCTGTGGGGTTCGAGAGTGAGGAGCCAGTGAGGCAATGTGCTGATCTTTTTTACCTGCGCGTCCACAATGTGATAAACCCGATAGCTCGGGAATGTTTTGGTGTTCAACCCAAGCACGTGGATCGACCTGAGGCAACGTCTGCGGCTCTGGCCGAGCGTGTTCGCTTGAGAAGTGAACTGCGGAGCCTAAAGCGGGGCCCCCCTCCGCCCTTCCTTCCTCCTCCTTGGGGCTGTGATCCCTTGTGGCTCCTCGCCTTCCTCCCGCATGTTGCCACGGGTCTCCTAGCTGGGGTGTGTCGCTGTTTTTCGAATTCGTTTCTGGCCCCGAGTATGCTAGCGAAGCATATCGTTCTGTGTCGTCGGGTGGATCGGGAGGTGCGGTGGCGGGTGCGAAAGGATAGAAACTGTTTAATTGGCCTACGTGTGGCCGAGCTTGAGGATGCCTGGAATGATCGAGAGTTTTTTTCGGCCTGGGATGTGTCCAGGCGGCTCAGCGGCAAAGCGCTAGGGCCAAAGCTCAGACTGTACTCTGCTCCTCGCACCTTCCTGGACGCTGAGACGTGGCGCAAATATCTCGAGAGTTCAGGTCCTGAGGGTGGCGTGGCAGCATCTGATGCAACGTACGATGAGGAACTGGATGCTAGACTAACGAGAGAACCGCGGGAGACGGACATGAGTGAGGCAATGCGTGAGGCTAAGGAAGATTTTGGTCGCATTTCTGGCGCATTTAAGAGAGTGAAGCTGAGGAAGACGCCACCTGAATGGTCATTTCCAGCAGGTATATGGCGCATGATGTTCTGGCCAGGTGACTTTCGCAGGCAGAGTAGAGCAGGAGTGGGAGGAGAACGAGAGGAGTGGAACTTTGAAACGATCAAGTATTGCCTGATGTATATACTGGCGAGTATCAGGCTGCACTCAGAGACTCCGCTGATTTGGCATTGTAGTCAGGCGTTTACTTTGAGTAAGGGCAATGGTAAGGTGGATTGTCAGGGCCTGAGGTTAGTACATAGCTTGGACTCCTTTGGTAAAGTGTATTATCAGTATCTTTGGAGAACGAACCCTGAACTAGGTAGATACGCTAATCGTGGGTATGCTTACGGATATCTGAAACGACGTAGGCGGGAGGGGGCGGTGCTCGTTCAGACCTTGTGCGGTGAAAGATTAAGAGAAGCTAAGCTGAGTTGTTTCTCGACCTTCTATGACGCGACGAATGCATTTCACAGCGTGGAGCACTGGCTTCTTAAGATGTTCGTGAGGCAGCACGCGTCACCCTTCGCAACGGCTCTGTTTGAACAAAGACTTAATCATGGGCAAATGTCTCTTGAATGTGTTGACGGTGTTCTGGAGGTTGCCCTGGGTTCTGGAACGTTACCTGGGGACACCGTGGCTCCGGTATGGTTCTTAGGGGCTCATCATTGGTGTTTGGATGGGTATATAGGGGAAGAGAGTCCTGGGCTTAGCGTCAGAGTTCCGTGGCTTAAGCACTGTTTGGGGGCAGATGGGAGTGCTAGGCTTGCTCTGTGCTCGTGGGCCGATCGTGCGATCGACGTTTCTTTCACCAGTTTCGCTGATGATCTGTGTCGCACTCAGTTGCTGCGATCGTGTGATGGGTTTGTCAGACTAAGTTCTGAGAACCTCATGAGACTTCAAGAACGAGTCGCTATTGGTGGAGTGGCTCTCAATAGCGGCAAGCAAGAGTGTCTGGTGCACTTCGCGGGCACAGGTGCCCATGTCTCTCGACGGCGTGTTTTTGGTGGCTACTTTGATCGGTCGTCTGGGTCCTGGCAGCTGCGCACTGGTGAGAGTGTTCCTGGGCGCGTGAATCGTTGCTGCAGGTACCTGGGTCCCTATTTACGTGCCGACGGAAGTTGCAGTGATGAATATCCCCGCAGGATTAAAAAGGCGAGGCAAAGTTTTGGGCTTCTGGGACGGTTCTGGCATAGCTGTACGAACTTAAGATGGAAGAGTATTGTGTACCAAGCTGTTATCGAAGGCGCCCTTACGTCGGGCTTGGTCTCACTTGCGGTGACGTCTGATTGCTGCTCACGCTTGGATGGAGTTCAAGCGATTCTTGCTCGTCGTGTGATGAAGGGGGAGGGGTGCATCAAGGAGGAGATGGAGGATGGGATGAAGTATCAAGCGAGAACCACGCACGACATTTACTGTCAGCTGAGGCTGTGCCCTGTGTCCCTGCGGCTCCGCATGCAGAGGCTGAAGTGGATGCAAAATATTGTGCGCTGGCCTCTCTGCAATTTACAGGTGATAGGAGCTCTGTTTGGTCAGGCGGAATGGGAAGAAAATAAGTTCGTGGATTGGGAGGGGTATCTTAATGGGAGGCCTAGCGAATGGTGGACACAGTTTCTCGCAGACTTTAAGGAATTTGCTCGGGTAGCCGAGTTTGCCGATATCGCGGCTGAGGTCGAGCGTTATCCTGCGGCATTGTTTTGTTCAGTGGATGTGCGCACGGAGTTTCTTTCGGCTGATCCGCAGATATTGTACAGCGAGTACACAGGAAAACAGATAGCTCCGCCTGTCGAGGCTGAGATCGGCGCCCCGTCTGGGACCTCGGGGGCTCCTGGGGGCTCGTCCTCGTCTTCTGCTCCTCCTTCTGGGGTGCCTCCTCCTTCTGGGGTGCCTCCCCCGCCCCCTTCTCCTCCCCCTCCTCCTCCTCCGTCTGTGGGTGACTTCAAATGCGATCTCAGTCTTGGGGAGTCGGAGGGAGTCTGTGGGGCCTCGTTCCCGACTAAACGGCAACTACTGTTACATCAAGCTAATTCTCGGCAGCCCAATCATGGGCATAGAGTTCTTGCTCGAATTGTTACTATCAGCAATGCATGTATTCTGTGTGGCAACATATATACCACCAAAAGGTATGCTAGCTCTCACCTGGAAAAGAGTCTTGAGCTTGGTAAGTGTCCTCGGTCCAAGGGTTCTGCGGTTCAACACAGTCATATCACCAGTCCTCCGTATTCCTGTGAGATATGTGATCTGAGTTTCAGTAGCTATGTGTCGGCTCGTTGGCATCTTCGAGCACACCTTCCACTAGAAACACAAGAGTTTCTTCTCTGAAGATGCAGCTGCAATAGGGTGCCTTCTTGGCAAAGTGGGAGAGAAGTCTGGCTTCGTCGACGGAGGCCAAGGCCGAAGTGGAGCTGTAGCTGGGGGTAATCAGTGCTCAAGCACAAGGCTCCTGGAAGCTGCTGTGACGTATCAGTTCTCCTTGAAAGAGGAGGACGCAGTGTATATGAGTATAAAAAGCGCTCACTACCAGGTGAAGAGCCAGAAGGGCCACAAGATTGGTGCTACAGATGCGTTTCAGTTTGACTCAAAGCAGCGCCGTTTGATTGTAACGACTGCCGACAAACAGCTCGAGCAGGTCATTGTTGCTATGGGCCCGCGTCCTGCGGGGTATCTTGGAATGGAGGGGCAGAAGACGCTGACCCCACAGTAGTGACTACTGGTCGGTGAAGTGCTCGTGACTGATACGGGCGACATTATGTGATGTGCCTGAAGTTTGTGGGTGTGTGCGGGTGCTGTCGTGGTCGAGTGGCGGG